AAAAAAAAAAAAAAAAAAAAAAAAAAAAAAATTGTTGATGGTCCTGAGTTTCTGAGAGGTGCGTTTCTTGAAAGCAGATGAAGTCCGGCGGCGATGATCCAAACCACCCTGTATATTTTGTCACGTTGTGCCAAATCAAACTCGCTTTCTTTTCCACTTCGCATACATGCAAACAGATGGCGATTCACACTGGCGCTTCGCACCCACTCAAAGCTCAGAGATATGGAAAACCGAGAACACAGTTCAGATGCAAACTCGCGTCAGCAAGCTATGGCGCATCAGTGCCTTCACAACCTAACTCTCGTCACTGTGTTCAATACCACTGTTCGCCTGCACTCAACTCTGGATCACCCTGAATACTCCCATGCACACTCACTCTGTCACTCACTCGTACACACTCACTATCTCCTAACACTACAGCGGCTATGGCCGCTCCACTTCTACTAACTATGGCTACGCTATCACCTCTCAGCCCAGTTCGACTTCGGGCAGCCTGCAGACCACCTTCGCACAAGACGCTGTAGCAGCGCTTCCGCATGGCTTACGCAGCGAATCAATAATGGCTGGGCGCAGCCTCTTGATTTATACTTCTGTAAGGGTCTCGCTGCACTACTCTAGAGTCTCGATTTTTCGAGAGTGGGTCATCGCTGCACTTACTCTCGATCGGGAAACTCTCGAAACCCGATCGAGAGCTGTCAACGGGCACTCTATATCACAACTCTCGAAACGTCGAGAGTCCCCCGCCTGCAAAAACTGAATTTGCAAGTGTCCTCGGGAGTTGCCCGCCGACAGGCTCATTTTTTGAGAGTGGACCTCCTGTCCCGGCGGCCAGACTTTGTCCCGTAGGGCAGTGGTGAAGCTCTTCTGTAGAGTAGGACGACGCCCCGGCCGGTTGAGTGTTCACCTAGCGTGATAGCTTATAGAGTAAGTGCAGAGAAGGCGGGTATTTCGAGAGTCTCGCCTCTCTGACAACGCTAGCCGAACTCTCAAAATATTTCGAGAGTCTAGAGTAGTGCAGCGAGGCCCTAAGTCGTTGGTCTGCCCTTTTCCACTGGGCCCAAGGTGCAGACGGTCCCTCATGGTACTTGCTGACGGTGCAAAGTGAGACTGAGACTGGGTACCACTGACTAAGCGAAGTTGGACTCACCACTTGCCCACTTGCCTCTGGCCTGCTGTGTAAAACATGAGAAGAAACTTGAAAGGCCACTTTCGGGCCTTCCGGAAGTCTGTGGACTTGG